TGTGCAGCTGTGTGGGTAGGGAAGGCCTGAGCCTGACCACTTGGAATTTCACTTGCCCTTGGTCTTTGTGGAGCAGGGATTGGTGCGTGGGTGGGATGGTGAAAACAGTACAGACTCCAGGGTCACAAACTGCAAAGATTTAATGATAACTGTGCATAGCGTGACAGGACAGCACAGGGAAAGGAATTTTCCCCAATCTTGGTGGGTTTCTTCAACAAAACATACTTCTTTGGACTTAATTATTTTCTATGAAAACCCATGAACATTACCCTGGGAGGCCCATATAAGCTTTACAATGACCATCATATAAATATCTGATGCTAAAGACAAGGAGGACTTTGGTGAAAAAGTAGGTCTAAATCTATTTCTACCACCTCTCAGATACTGCTTGTTGGTTACAGAGATGATTTCCTTCTCATTAATGACAAACTGTAATCTAGGTGAGTGGTTCCCAACCTTTTTTGTGCCATGGACTGGCATGGAAGCATTGGAGCTGGCTGCCTCCATCCCAGGGCTGTCCCACCTCCCAGCTTTAATTTCGCATGTCACTGCTGGCAGCAGAAGCCGCATGCCTGGGTGGACAGACATGGGGCCAAGCAGGGTGCACATGCCACAAGCCAGCAGCAAACGTGGCACGGCCCAGTGGGGGGATCTAGGTTACAAGGATTTCAGAATCCTGAAACAGCTCTCTCTTTTTTCTCCCCAAGAAGTAACCTCTTTCAAACAGTTCTGAATCTTAAAGGAGTTGCAGATAGCTAATAAGGCATGACATTCACCATTCGAGTATATTTTTCTCCATAAATAACAAATTCACTAAAATCCAATACATTTTACACCAATGGTGCTCAACGTACCTGATCCTGTGAGCTAGTTGAGTGGCATAGAGCCTGTCCAGAGACTGGATCCTGTGCATAGGGTTGATCCATGGGCCTAAATCAGCATGGGGTTGGCACATGGGGTCGATCTGTGAGTGCACTCCAGTTCATCTACCTGACCCCATACTCCAGATCCAGCCATGGACCGACCCTGAGTGCCGGTACAATCTGTGCACAGGAAAACATCATCTGGCCCATGGATCCCAAAATTTGGCATCCAGGATATGATGGCAATATTAATTGCCATGGCTCTGGGAACCATGGCAATTAATGCTGCTAATGCTCCCCCACTGCTGCCGGTGAGATCCTACCACTGCTATCCTGTCACCAAATTTCTGGACCCAACAGGAACCCCATGGCCCAATGACATGGCTCCGGGGGCAGAATCCAATCTGAGGCCTGTAGATTGATCAGCATTGCTCTATGCTGATCTACATTTCCATGTTTCTGGGTTCCAAATACTTAGTGGCTTTGGAATCCTATTTTGTTGTTAAGCCTTCTTATCCAGATCACATAATGTTGTAATTCACTTATATAAGTCTTCATGACTTCATGGAGAATTTGCTCTGTGAAAGGAGATCTGTGCTAATTTACATATAGACCAAAAATATATTATGCACTCTGTGTGTGCAAATTACGGCCCTCAGATGAAAACATTTTTACAGTGCTTGGCTTTACAGGGTACTACCACATATGAAAAATGAAAGGAAATGGCCCAGAGATTTGAATGTAGGCCAAGGGGCATATTCCTCCCAAGTGCATAAGCACACTATCAGTATTGAATGCATATTGCATGAGGAAAAAATTCTCTAAAATGGAAGACTATTGTTTACACTTAAAAAATATTTACATATGACTATAATCACAAGAGTTATTGTTTTGCTCTTATACTTTGTTTTTAAGGTTTTCAAAGCTATCTAGCGATTTTAGATTCATAGCTTATTTTAAACTGCAGTAGCAGGGGGGCATGAATCTAAATTGCCTAGACCAGCGGTGGCCAACCTGCAGTACAGGTACCACAAGTGGTACAGGCAGCCTGTGTGTGTGGCATGAGGAACATCAGAGAGGGATCAGGGAGCACAGTGGCACAGCAGGGAGGAAAAAAGCAAATTAGCATTCTGGCAGGGAGCACAGGGAAGAAAGTGGAAAGCAGAGCATCAGATCAGGCAGGGAGCAGAATGCAGAGCAGCAGATCAAGCAGGGGAAGAGGATTGGAATGGCATGCAGGGAGGGTATGGTACCAAGTTGTATACCTGCCAGAAAAGTTAGCATACCTGCCAGAAATGTTGGCCATCACTGATCTAGACTGTTTGATTTAGTAAAAATAATCTAGATTTCTTCTTTTCTGCCAATTCATATGTCTGGATAACATGCTCCATTAAAGAATTAGACAATGGTGGAGCTGGGGAAATGAAAAGGGTGAATCAGATATCAAAATATTATGTCTGTATATGTGTTCAACAATAATCCTCCGTGGAAGGGACTGTCTCTTCTGTCAATGCAACACCAAATGCAGTGGGGCCTTTGAACATTGTTATACTGAAAACAATAATAATAATAAAAATAATAATAATACTAAAGGCAGCATTTGTTTTTAACACAGCTAATTGTCCTCCTTTTTTGCCATTTCATTTTATCATACAATTGAGATGAACTCTAGACTTAAAAATCTGAAGAAAGATCATTTACCATATTGTCCCTCTTTATATCCAGTTACAATTGCTAGTAGGAACTTACAAAAAAAAAAAAGGAACCTCCCTTAGGAATAGCCTCTCCTTTTAAGTGTTTGTTTTCCATTATTTCAGTAGTTTTATCTTCAGAGGATGGGAAAAGAAGAAAAGAAAGGTCAAAGGTAAAAAATTTCAATGCTGGTGTAATCCCCAAGCAGCATTATCCCCTCACAGAAATAGCTAGGATATGGCAAATTAAGTATATTCATTTTCCTTCCTGCGCATCACTTGTAATAGAGTCTGAATCTACAGAAACATGGAACAATAAGAAAGCAAGTGAATTCTCACTGAAATCACTGCATATATTCTGGTGAAGCTCAAAGCAGTTCTTTTAGCATATATTTTGCAACAGGATCTCTCTTGCTCTCTCTTATTGTATATGTAAATTCAGCAATGCATATTCACACCTTTTTGCTAGTCCTATATAAGCTGATGTGGAAGATCATTGGGTCAAATACAGGAATCCTAGGTGTCTTGCAGATAACATGGATGGTCTGTGGCTATGTAGGATACGTCCATGCTAATATCTAAGTTGACCAACCCAAGCCATGACAGCCAGCCCTTTCCCAAATCTGAATGAGATTCCCTAGAGACTGAATCTGAATGTGATTATTGTCATACAGTGATTTCTCTTACTTGTGCATAATAAGCCTTGTCTTTCTTTCTGTTTTTGACTCTAATTACAGCCAATAGAGACAGAAAGTAGGCTTGTAGAAGAGCTAAACAGGAACAGGAAGTTGTGGGACTGTGGCTTTGCTTCTGGCCTGGAGCACCATGGTAAATTCTAAAGCCACTGCAGGAAAGGGTGGCCTAGTAGGAGGCTTGACCTCTGACCCTGAAGTTCCACAGACTTTCCAGAGTTGGTTTGGATATCAGCCATAGACTGAGTTTAGGGGTTTCTAGTATAAATGTTTGGTGGGTTTGGGCTTATGCATGGCCATTAGATCAGTCCTAGGTTGGAGGCATAGATAACACCTCCAAGGTACATCAATCACCAAGTCACTCCATTACCATTATCTAGTGGATGTAGTGGATATGCAGCAATACCTGGGGTCAGGTCAGAGCACTGATCTTTTGTTACACAGATTATTATGTACACATGCCTGACTGTCAATGGCATGACATAGCTTGGGTGGAATACATAAATCAAGAGCCATGAGTGAACAACTTTGACTCCGAACAAAATTTTGATCAGGGAACAACTATTATTGGCACTAGAACTCAATTTTTAAAGTTGGTTAGAGGGCAACTTAGTGTAGCACACATATAACTAAAATAGATATTTGAGCACTTAGACACTGAATTAGATGCTCTAAATTTGAAAACTGTCCCCCCCAGTTCTGGAATGGAACCTAACAGCTCATCATACAGATTTAATGGAATTGTACTGTGCTAATGGAGCAATGTGAGATTGGCAGCGCTCTTCTCACCAGGAAAATGCACGCTCCAAAAACTGATAAAACATTCAGGCTCAGATGTCCCCACAGACAATGCCTGGTTTATCTTAAATTTAAAAATATTTTCAAAATCAAATTAAATTCTAGAGTGTTTTCCAAGAAAAATTTGTTGATTGAATTATTTCCCCTTTTATTGCAAATATTTAGAGAAGGAAAAACTGGATGTTTTAAGAATCCTATAGAAATGAAGAAAGGAGGCAGACTTAATGGACTTCCCTAATTCAGAATTTCCTTGTCTTGTGCATGCTTTTAACTGTAATGTTATGTGACATTAAATGGCTTCTTAATAAGAAAAAAGAATGGGTGTAAGGTTACTTGTGTAAGTGTTACTTCATTTCATCTCATCATAGCCGGCAGGCAGCCCCCACACTGAAGCACCCTCGTGCCCCAGCCAGCCTGTCACCATCTACACAAGTATTGCAGCGGAGTAAATAATTCCACCATAAAGTAGTACTCGTGTTGGGCAGTACTATCCAATGGCAGTTAATTAGTTTACTCTGGCGTAATAGCACCACTTGTGTAGACACCGATGATTTACTAATTAGGCAACTCTGCAGTAAGTGTCTTACGTAATGCACCCACTGGCACTAATGTTATCTTATTTTTCATGGCATTATGTGTATACATTCACGGAACCACTGCTTCTCTTCATCTGATTGTTAGGCTTTCAGTAGCAATTTGTCACATGGACTAGCCTAGTACATAAGAAAGGATTTTCACTGCTGCATGATGAATTTTCTTAAGAAATATTGCAGTGGTAGTAAGTACAACAAACTTAAAATACTGTAGTTTAAATTTGACTTTCCTTTTCCAGATGTATCTCTGAAAAAAATGTAGTTATTTTTCTACACGCAAATTGCATTCATGATGGTATCACCTTTCTTCTCGTCTATGGGGACCTCTTTGAATTTATAATAATTTTGACTTGTATTTCATACCTTCCAGCTCCCTGCAGCCAAGTTCTGCAATGCACCTGCTGCACCTTCCAGTGTGTCTGGATTTGAGCACTCGGAGAGAAGTGTGAGGTAGGGTTTGACTATTGAAGGGTGCCACAGCATCTGGATTCCTTTTGGTGGTTCTGCACAGTCTGGGAGAGGTCCTACTCCATCCCACTGTTGGAAAGAACAAATCTAATGTCACCAAAGATACTCATATCATTGAGAAAAATATTTAACCTTTTTTTAATATATAGGTCCACTATCAAAAGCAGCATTCCTCACCTTTAACCATAATATGAAATCCTGGACAGAGGCAGAGAATTTTCCTCCCAGTACTCTTCCGAAAATAGCTTTTTGACGGTACTTGACCTAACCATTGATGAAAATCTTTAAGTACTCTATCTAATTAACATAATGAGAACAATTAGCTTCCACTGCATAACTTTTTGGGGGGGATGGGGGAAGGGGAAATGGGACAAAACCTACTGACAAGCACTTGTATCAACAAAACTTATTGGGCGTTTTGCATGAAAAAATAAAAAAAATATGAAAAAGGAAATTCTCTATTTGAGTGATCTTTTGGATGCTGCCTTTTCAGTGGAAACTACTCTGAAAAAATAAATGATGGGTGAGCTCTGGCTCTTTTCATCTGACAGGTCTGGATAGTGGACTATTGTCCAACATGGGCTTTGGTTAAACCTGTACTCCTATGAGGTTTAGACACTAATATTTCACATCAAGCTGGAAAAAGGAGCCCTATTGCAGAGGAAAAAGAGTCCCCTCTTTCCAGTAGAACTCACAGCATCCATTTTTGACTGTTGGAAAGTCTATTAAAATGCTATTCATGGCCATTTTAAAACAAGGAATAAAATCTGAGCCACATTTTTAAAAATCTTCTAAAACATTTCAATACTATCTTTTCCTTTAACTCACACAACACATAAAATCCACAACGTGACACTGGCATAAGATAAAGGTTTTCATAGCACTAGTTTAGGATGACTCATTGGGCATGTCTATATATGCTATTAATGTGCTGTAATATGCTGTAATCTTACTGCACAGTAAAATAATGTAAAGTAAGCTTTCCCTGGAATCATGTCTACATGTGCACCCAACAGGAGCAGTGCAGTGCAGGGCTACTCCTGCCCTCCTCTGCTCCCTTACAGCAGCCAGTGGGAGATCCAGGTTTCCCCACATGCCAGCCTGGGCTGGGAGGGGGCACCGTGGTCTAGGCTGGGCTCTGGTGGGCAGGGGGGCTGTCTCACCTCTGGGGCAGCTGCCTCCAGTCACTGTGCCCCAATTGGCAGATCAGGGTGCAGTGCTGGGAAACTGTCCCCTCCCCCAAGCAGCTGTTTCCCAGCCCTGCACTCCAATTGGCAGATCAGGGCATGGGGCTGGAAAACAGCTGTTGGGAGAAGGAACAGTTGTCCTGTCCCCATCTCCCCCATCCCCCACTACCTGGGCTCACTGGGGGCAATTTGCTCCTGGTTACCTGTCTACACATGCACTACTGTGCAGTAGCTACAGGTAGTATCCAACTGAACAGCAGACTAACCTACTGCACAGTAAATGCTGTGCACACATAGACACTGACACTTTACTGTGCAGTAGATTAGTATACTGTACAGTAAAGCATCTCGTGTAGACATGCCCATTGTGGCTTTGTCACTTGAGAGGAATGTGGTCAATAAAAATTTATGCAGGTAAAACATTCACCTCTACCATTCTATCATGTGGCCTAAATGCATCAGTACATGCATAAACTGAAAGCTCAATAAGTTTCTGGTTGAATCCCACAAAATTTAATGTAGTTAACTCATGTAGTCCATTATGACATGCCATGAAGGATATTCACATTGCAGGAAAGTAAGATTTTTTTAAAATTCTAGATGTCAGCGGCAGTTTACGTATGATTTAAAGCTAAGTATAATGTCATACATATTCAAAGTAAAACATGATGTCTAAACCCCGAGCTTGTTTGAACTGACATGGCTGTATTGACTTTAAAAAATCTGTATACTTAATTGCCCTGGGTCTCAACCTACCATAGTCAAAGCAATGTAATTCATGCTTTTATCATTCTCTGATTTAGAAACACCCAGGCCAGAGATGGCTGTCCAGATGTAGACTAGGATTAGCAGAGACTACTGTGGTAAGGAATTGTCACATGGAATTTCCTCCCCATTTCAGCCTGGTTGTAAGAAATCATACCTTTGTTTTAAAAAAGAAAAAAAAAAAAAGAGAGGGGAGAACCAAACATTGATTTCACACGAGGTAAGAAAGAAAATACATGTGGGAAGCCCATGTTAAGCAACTGTAGGAACATTTCACAAGGTTCCGTTCCAGAGAGAAGGGAGTAAAGAATCTGATTTCTTAATTCACTATTGCTGAGAAACTGAGATATGCCAATTCTTTGTTCATACTGTTCATACAAGTCACCAACATACTATAAAAAACCAGCTTCTTGGATTCATAGCCATATTCTGGCCTTTGGACAACTTGGGGGGAAAAACAAACAGAAAAAAAGGGGTGGGGGGTGGCAAAATGCTGGATCTGCCTACCATCTTCCCTCACAGATACAATCAGCCTCCAAATGAAGGGAGGTTAGACAGTAGCCGTGGAGTCCTTTGGGGATCAGATCCTACTGTGGTAGTGCAGACCTCAGACTGGCTTGATGGTGACTTCCTTTTACTTCCCTGTCTCTGTACCATTAAATGTGGGAATTTTCAAGAGGAGCTCAGTGTGGAGTATAACTTAGGCTCATTTGTGCATTAGTAACAGCATCCACATCTGTAACTGTGTGTCAATAAGACAGTTGCACCACTTGCATTGCAGCTGAAGTATCTTATTTCAATGAAGTGGGAGACATGTATGAATAGAAGTATGTTCTAAAAGAAGTGGTAATTTAGGTGGGCTGCATTTGCTGTAGTATCCTATGTGGCCTCCTATATAAAATGGGGGCATTAAAACATGTAAGGATACATTACTTTTCTCTGCAGGGTTTCCTTATGCTTCCTCAGCTACCAAATACATTGTTAGAAAGTAGGATAAACAGTTAATCCAGGAGATAATTTTCCATTGTTCTGTAAAGTGACCCATGCATCTCCAAAATGTCTTTTATTACATGTCCCACTTAATGGCTGTTGAATAAATAGGAAAGAAATAAAGAAGACAACCGATGTAAGAATCTTCTTTGATGACAACTAGAGTAGTTCAAAGTGCTGTTTTGTTGTTTGAGGGCTTTGGAGCACTGTGACTTGTTAATGTTGAAGAAAAGGAGACATTTCAAAGCTAGCAAATCTGTGTGACCTTTATCTCGATGCTTTCTTCAACCTTTCATAGAAGTTAATAATAAAAACCTTCAATTGTCCAAGGCAAAATTATTTTCACAAGCTGTAATATTACAGTAAATGCTTCTCCAATATCTGCTGTGGCAAGCTGAAGTTACTTTCTACCAAGAACTATTCAATATTAATGAATTGAAGTAGTGAGCTGAAAGACTGTGCCCAGAGAATTACATAGTGGTAATCCATCAGGAGTGATCAATAAGTTCTATTTGAGATAGCCTGTACTATAGATATACAGGGAACCTCTCAGAAGGATGAGGGCTATATACTCCTCCTAGCTTATATTAAAAAGACTAAAGTCCTGAACAAAAGCTCCTTCCAGCCCTCTTTGTTTCTGCTGTAATTTACAAAGATACCGTGAAACTGACAGAAGCTGGGAGTTATGTGGATGAACTATGGCCCTGCTTCTCTGTCCTCCCCCACCCCCCACACACACTTCCTAAAACCAATCCACACATAAAAAGGTGCAAAGAATTACACAAATCACAGAAATTCCCCAAATCTTTTCCATTTTAATCTATTTCAAAAGCAAAGATTTATTAATCATTCCTGTCCATACTATTCCTATAGTCTATTCCTTCTCTGAAGAGGCGGTTGGGGGACAATTCTGTTTTTGTGAACCAGCAGTACTTCCCCTTTACTCTCAGACTCTACTGTTGTTCAGTTTGCATGCGTCTATAGAACCAAATCCTCACTCTGTTCCCCATGGCAATGAAGGTAACATTAGCCCTTTACACTCCTAGATGGCAGAGAACTGATCAAAAGCTGGAATTTCTATTCCCCTGGAAATTCCAAAATCCCAAAGAAAGAAAATTGGGAGAAAAACAAGATCTTTACAAACCATTTAAATGATAGTGGTTTTAAGGCTGGATACTGTCCACTGCTGCCAGGCCTGCTGGCTCCCTGTCAGCACAACAAACTGGCAGGAAGCCAGCAGTCAAAGGGCCCTCAAAACTATGGCTGAGGGAGGAGCCTTTATGTTTGACAGCCAGAGTTCACAGCCTCTGCAAGCTGTGGCTCTGCAGTCCAAAGGCAGGAGTTGCTGCAAATCAAGGACATCTTATGGTTTCCAGCTCCAGCACATTCTATATGTCAGAGTTGCCCTGGAACAGTAGGCTCTGTAAGCCCTGGAGTCCCAGCAACCCACCAGGCAGGCTGGCAAGTAACTAGACACATTTTGGACAGAAAACTGTTTGCCAGCCACACTCCCACTGGAGCCCTGAATGAAATCGCTAGAAGCTCAACAAATCCAATAAGATTCTATGAAACATTCAACAATTTGTAAAAAACAATTGCCGCAAAAAATTCCTGACTAGCTCTGAGGACTCCAAACCAGGCTGCCTGTTCCTGAAAGCAATCAAGATGGCCCAGAAAGGGGCATATAGCATCTCCAAGTTTGGCACCTACAACTGTCTTGCAGGGGTCGAAGCATCTATAGAAATGAACTTCCCACTTAGTCACTCATTGCTTCATGGATCCTGTCCCTCAGTGCACCCCTTGAATTCAGTAATGTCTATGGAACATGATAGACAACATGATGGCAAAGTGGGGCTCCCTGACTAGTCACAGTGCTAGTTTCCCCACTTGCCTTTGGGCATACCACCCACCTGACTCTCCTGCCATGCCTTGTTGTTAATTAATTAATGATCTTAATTAGGTGGGAGGCTGCGCATTTCTTGCCCCGATGCCAGGGGGTGCTATCTGTGGCTCCAATCCTCCCCTACACCGCACCCAAGCCTTGCAGATGGCATCCAGATGACAGTGCTCCTGCCCAACAGCCAGACCAACCTTAGGCCTCGTTGTCAGGCCTCAGTCACACGCACA